CAGAAGATTACTCTTTGGATAGGAAATTCCAAGTGTGCGTTTGCTTCAACGTACAGCTTTTTGAGAATTGAAGCAGCACAAAGCTCTAAACGAGGAATGGTAACACCATTTAAGGGGGCTACTCTTGATTTACTGCATACAAGATTTATCGTGACACGACCTTTGGCATTAGTAGTCCTAATTATAAGACAGGCCCAATATCCATACATGCTTATGTCACGTAAGGGCGTGTACTTTTAAAATAATTGTTAACACTTGGAAATCACCACTATGAACAATCGATTTATTTTCGAAATACAGAGTAGACACGCACAATAGCTCAGACGATTGCTAACTGACTCACTGACTGACTGCTCGACTGCCCGAGGTTTAGGGTTGCTTATCTTACTACCTTATGTTTCAACGCTTTAGTGACGGGCGCATGTCCTACTGTGTGGTCTAATACGCAAAATGCTTCGGGTAGCATTTTAAGTAGAATACTCCATAGCATTCCCGGTAGCATACCGTTGTTGTATGTAGCCTGATCGACATCCGGTTATTATATTATAAATTCTTTGAAAAAAACATACATCCAGGTGTTTTAAAGGGAACCGTCACAATATCGCAGGACCAGGCCACCGTCTCCGCTACCATGAGACGCCTCATCATTTTGGCATATACTGATGAGACGCGCAGCCGGGACAGGAGAGGTTCATTACCTGGGTCCCACGCCCCCAGGGAGCCGACGACGAACGCGTCGACACGGACGGTGTACCCGAGGGATGTTAGTGAGTCGGCGAGGGGCTGGTACTTGAGTACCTTCGCCACTCTCGCCGACTCCAAGGCACTAAAACTATTTTCAAACGGGACGGTGACGTCTACGATAGTCACCGTCTTCGCGACACCGTCCGTGACGACAATGTCAGGTCGCAATGACGCCAGCTCGCCGTCGAAACTTTGATCTCAGCCATCAGGCCGAGAAGTGATGCATCTTTATTGCTATCTTAATTTATTCAGATCCCACTGTTATGAAGCCGGTGTTGTCAGTTTTTACATCAAAAGACATCCGAATAACCAATTACCTAGACGACCTCTTAATTTTTCGTAAGTCCAGAGAAGAATGTAAAAGAAATTAAGCGCTTTATTTAAAACAAAGAATGTTCCCCTGACATCTTACGGTGCCAGGGGTAGTACATGGTAACGATACATTTTACATGAAATAGCATGTTGCAGAGGAAAATTGCACACGACCGCGGGGGACAATTCCCCCCGCGGCTCTCATTCATGCTTGCACATCTCGTACCAGAGCATTTATTTACAGCAGATCTCATTATTATATCGCTCAGGCGCAGGGCAGGGGCCGAAACCTCCGCGACGGAATCGTCGAATTAGAATTATGATTACAGGTACGCCGCTTAGGCGGACACCGGCGGGGAGCCCGTTCGCGGAACCGAATACTGCCGGACCCCGGAAACATGCTCGACATAGATGTCGCGGGACCAGGCCACCGTTTCAGATACCATGAGACGCCTCATCAGATTGGAATATCCCGATGAGACGCGCAGCCAGGACAAGAGGGGTTCGTTACCTGGGTCCCACGCCCCTAGGGAGCCGACGACGAACGCGTCGACACGGACGGTGTAACCCAGAGATGTTAGAGAGTCGGCGAGGGGCTGGTACTTGAGCACCTTCGCCACTCTCGCCGACTCTAGGGCACTAAAACTATTTTCAAACGGGACGGTGACGTCTACGATAGTCACCGTCTTCGCGACACCGTCCGTGACGACGATGTCAGGTCGCAATGACGCCAGCTCGCCGTCGAAACTTTGATCTCAGCCATCAGGCCGAGAAGCGATGCATCTTTATTGCTATCTTAATTTATTCAGACCCCACTGTTATGAAGCCGGTGTTGTCAGTTTTTAGATAAAAAAACATCCGAATAACCAATTACCTAGACGACTTCTTAATTTTTGGTAAATCCAGAGAAGAATGTAAAAGATGTTTTCTATGTAGTCTTTTTTCTTATTTTCATCAAATCTATTAGTAATAACATAATTACAAAAAAGTTTCGCGTAAGATTCATCCATGCATATAACATTCGTATCCTTAATACTAAAATATATCATCATTTTTAACATTAGACTCACGTACTCCCTCACATTAATCCTACAAATTCTCATTGTAAGGGAACTATTCTTTTTTAACGTCAGCAAATGGCCGATCTCTTTCTTATAATTAACATAACATATATCATTAGATGATTCTATTCTATATACACTATACAAGGCTCTGGCAGCCGTCATGTTAGAAAGATTTTCACTCCACTCCCATCTACGAATAAATTCCCCCCACCTAATCGTTCCATCCCCTGTTATTGACAAGAGGCTCAAGCACTGATATCTGATGGATTTTATATGAGGATACAATAGCAAGTAGCTTAATATTTTCGATCTGGTCACTTCTACACACTCTCTGGTGTCTGGCCTCCATTTAGAAGTGTTCATTTTAAGTGTTAATCTCATCTTAGATAAAATGTCACTAATCGGCCTGAAAGGCAACCACCAAGTTTTGTCGCTGATATATACTGTGCTATAACTGTGACTGCAAAACTCAATCTCATCAAATGTGTGGCACATTTTTGCTCCACCTTCCTGACCACTTCTAATTTTCTTATTCTGGAGACTCAACGATTCTTCGATATTGTCAACAATCGCTCTAGCGTAAGGGAGGCTACAAATTAAAAATGTGTCATCACCATCGCTCATCTGGCCCAATCTTGTTATCTTAATTTCTTTATATACAGGTAAATTAGCTTTGAAACCGATCAAGTATTTTATTCGCGCAACTGTTTCGCACACTTCTTCCAATGACAGACCTGTTGCCTCAGATACAGCTACTGCAGTGTTGGCGGCTACCAATTTCGTATTTCCAGTTGACGTCATCAGCTCGCCACTCCCTCTTTGTCCTGACCTCAACCAAGTGTTCCCCTCGTCGTCTACTGTAATAGGACACGCCATATCCCTAAAGCAGGTCATGATAGCATTTCTCAGAGCCTCTGGATAATATGAGGCTACATCATCAGCTTCAATTAGTCTCTCTTCCAGCGTCACTGTTGTGTCCCAGCCACTATAATCAAGGCAAACCGCAGCTGAGTCTGAACCTATGCTTTTACCCTTAATTCGTGTCACTTCGATGTCTGCTTTTGGATTATTTCCTTCTCTAATCTCTCTATTTTCTTCTGAGCTATTTAGATCCCAGATTGCTCTCATTACGCGTTCCACATACATTGGTGGGGTCCCATTGATGGTCCCCTTGTAAAGTTTTTGCCTGTTTGATTTTTGTAACATATCTCCTATCAAAGTGTAATGCGCTAATCTCGTTTGCGAATCAGCGAATTGAATGAATCTATGACCTTGTTCAGCAAACTCATCCAAATCGCCGGCAGCCACCACAATCTTGCCATCTTTCACACACTTTTTCTGTTTTGGCTCGTTTTTCGGTCGACAGGTAAAATAGCCAAAGCAAGATTTGCCTGACTGCCACTTCGATATCATTCCCAAACACCTCTCATACCAGTCGGGTGTTTTTTCGATATAGTCCGACAGTGTATGCCGTTCGTCCAGTGCTCCAGTACTTCCTTGTCTATTTATCATCAACAGAACTTCATCCTTCGTCAGAATACAGCATTTGCCTTTAAGGCTTTCACCATAATCACTCGTCAATAATTTCATGGCTCGGTATATTTTACGCAACGCTCCTTGGTCCATATGTCCTGGATCTACGATTAGCCTCTTCTTTATTGAAGCATTTTTCCATTTTTCTGTATTTTGCGTGTGACAGAAAGTGCTGTTCTTGTCATCTATACCCCAAACTTCATTTTCGAACTCGACTATCAGGCCGTTCCGAGTGTCTTTAGGCATCAGCGATCTTCTTTTCCTAGTGATTGTTCCAATGTCACACATGTAATCACTGTCTCCAATTGCGTCTGGTGTCCACCTCAATTTCTTGTTTTTGATCTGACTAATAAACTCCTTGCATCTCTCATCCCAGCAAGGGTCTCACTCTTCTTCTAATTTGCCTTCAGGGGCATCTATGTTGAAACTCACGCCAGCAGGCCTATTATCCATTCTTGTTTTGACTTCAAATATTTTTGCGACGGCACCCAGTGTGAACCAATCAGCCCTTCTTTTAACCCGCCAACCTCTTCCTTTCACTCGTATAATCTTCATTGCTATCTTAATTTATTCAGATCCCACTGTTATGAAGCCGGTGTTGTCAGTTTTTAGATAAAAAAACATCCGAATAACCAATTACCTAGACGACTTCTTAATTTTTGGTAAATCCAGAGAAGAATGTAAAAGAAATACGTAAAAGCTCAACACAGGCTGCTGAGGAAATTGGCTGCACCTCTTTCCCCACGTCACCGTGCACGGTATTCTCGTTATCCTCACTCGGGACGCACAATGGCGAGAGTCATTTTATGACCTTCGATAGTGTAGACGGTCGTAGGAGTGCTCAATATTACCCCTTCATACATACCATCTTCACCTTTATTAAATTTAACACTATAATCTGTTTTGCCTCTAAAATCTTTCTGCTTCTTTAACAATCCATTAATCTTCACATCCACTATACTACCAAGCCTATCATACATAGGTGCGGGAATCGCTATAACATTGGGATTCTTCAGAAGACTACATCGCTCAGGAATCGAGTAATTTTTATCGTCTGAAGAATCCTCTTCTCTCTGAGTCGCTTTTGGACCCTCTTCAATTTCACTTTCCATACAAGATGGTTCCGTTTCGAAACTTTTTTCTATTTCATAAGACAATTCATTTTCCATAACGGGTTCCTTTCCCTCCTTTGAACCCTTCTCATTTCGACTATTATTCTTTTTCTCCTTTTGCGTGGCTTTCTTAGACTTAATTGCTAAATCTTTGCAATTTTCATTTCTGTTTCCAGACTTTTCTCTCTTTTGCTTCTTAGGATTTATATTTTCTTTCTTTTCAGGTTGTCTACCTATGTCAACCTTGTTATCTCTTCTCGATTTGGATTCGCCTCGCGGTGATGGGGTGAGGATCAAATCCCCAAAACCACAAGTGGACGCAATTGGTTCACCAAAGGTTTGCACTCTACATAGACGAACTCCTTTATTTCCGTTCTGCACATCAAATTTGCTCACATTTTCATATCTTTCAACTTGCCTAGTAGCCATACCACGAAGCTCGCCGTTGAATAGAGTATCAACGTCTAATCTGAGTCGAGTTCCGGGTATTCTGGCATATTTTCCATTTCCAAAGAAACTATATCCTACTTTAATATCTTTCAAAGTATCGCAAATTTCAATGTTTGCAATATGCTTCTCTCGAGTATCGGGGAGTTCATACATTCCAAGTTTTATCTTCTTGTCAGTATCCTCACGCACACAATGCACCGTCGTGAAGAAAACGTTCCCGTACTGTATCATATCTTACGATATAATTCAAATGCGTAACATAAGAACTTGAGCTTTTTTAACCAGGCAGTTAGCGGATTATGCCTTTAATGGAATTATAAAGAAATATGGCAATCCCGAAGTTGACTTATTCGCATCTAGAGTAAATAAGAAATGCAACATCTTTTGTTCCTGGCAAAGAGAACCAGATGCATTGGTAATTAACGCGTTTACTTTGAATTAATCACATTATTTTGGGGACGCTTTTCCACTATTTTCTCTAATTTTGAAAGCATTAAAGAAAATTCGTGAGGATAAAGCTACGGGCATTATGGTCGTATCCGACTGGAATACACAACCGTGGGTCCCTATTTTTCACGAGATGCTACATGGAGAACCCTTATATTTTGAACCAAACGATAGATTTTTGTTGTCTTCTTGCAGAACAATGAGTCATCCGTTGTGCAATCAACTTACACTGATTGCAGGAATCTTATGCGGAAAGCCTACGCAAGGAAGGGATTAGACGTCTCTTCAATTGACATATTGTTGGCCTCGTTAGCAGAAAACACATACAAGCAATATGATTCCGTCGTACGAAAGTGGTGCTTATTTTGTGATAGTAATAACCTACATATCTTTAACTCTGTTACGTCCCGGAGACGCGGGTGAGCGTTTCCGGCCACGTGCACAGGTATGGTATGAATGAAACACGGCCTCGATGGACCTTTCTACGAGAGGGGAGTTTCCTCTAGGATTTAAATCGAGCGGTGCCGAGCGGTTACAACGTTTATTTTTATCTTTTAATAAAGACAGGGCTCAGCGGTAGCGGGTACGTGCATGCCCGGCAGCCAAAAGGGGGTGGACCTCTCCAAATGGGGAACACTTAGGAAAATGACCCCCAATCTCCATGTATAGGAAGTGGCCAGAGGCAGAGCTTGGTCCGCTCCTGAAACCACAGGGTTTCCTGGCCAGAGGCAGAACTCGTCCGCTCCTGAAGCCGAAGGGATTAAGGAGTGGCCAGAGGCAGACTTAGTCCGCTCCTGAAACCACAGGGTTACCTGGCCAGAGGCAGAACTTGTCCGCTCCTGAAACCACAGGCTTACCTGGCCAGAGGCAGAACTTGTCCGCTCCTGAAACCAAGGGAGGAACCACTTCCAGGAAGAGAGAATGGCGAGGAGAGTGTCAACGCACGCTCACACGCTGCCGGCGCAACAATGTTCCACTCCGCGGAATGGGCCCCGGTGATGGGATCACGACTGCACTCACTTAGATTAAGAATGTAAAAATGTCGGGAATAAAGCCCTCGAGTTGTACCCCGGTATATATTTATCTTACAAGAACAACGGGAGTAGGATGGTATCGGCAGGACTCAGGCGTGCCCGGCACCTCAAATATGAACACGATAAAATATCAAATTACGCGTATATATTTCTCAGTCTTTCCAATGCGAAACTTGGTATCACGTGGAATACGATGCACAGTATAACAATAAAATAACTGAACTGTTGTACAATATAACTGTTAAATGACTGCGTAGTAGTTGAATAGACGCGCTGCGTAATATAAGGTTGGGTAGTACGCAGTTACCTGGTTACGCGGAGCACTTGGTAGCGTGCGGACTGTTCTACGTCGCAGCACTGACTGACTTGCGATGCCAGGCCGCGCTCCAGCATGTTACCGTACGCGCATCTCGGTCTACGCAGGCCAACGGCGTACCCATAAGAGGGACCAACTTTAGTCGGTTTAACCATTGTCGTAACTACTCAGGGATCCGTGCCCTGAGTTATATTTATGCTTTTCAGGGTTTTCGCGGGTCTGCACCAGCCGAGGCGTTAATGGAGGCGGCGACGTATATGCAAATGATTGCCTACGCGATTGAGCGGAGACAGGTGTGTCGCGCTTTTATGTATGAATGTCTTACAGGGCGGCTTAATAAAATTAACGACCGCGGAAAAATGCAACGGACGTCACACCTCTCCCCTTGGAAAAGAAAAAGTAGAAAGGTACTACCTTTCTGCTTTTTCGTCGTTTCGCGGTTATACACGCAACTAAAAGGAAAGAAAGTCGCGAGACGCGATGCGTGTGCAGGGCATATATGTGTATATATTCAAGTGCACAAGTGTGCATATTTTGAAGCGTCCTACCTACACATTCGCGTGTACAATAACTAAAACGTATGACATTGTAGTACTAAATGAAATTAATTATACTGTTGGCAACTAAACCATAATAGAAACAAAATAATTAAATCGGAATTGTCATGGGGTTTAAACAAAATATTCGGGGGTACATACCCGTTGCTTATGATTGAAACTTAAATGACTTTTTGTCCATGACATAATTCCGCCTAATCGCGAGTGAAGGCCATTAACTAGGATATATATATA